CACACACACGCTTCACACGTGATTCATTCCGAGCATCAGAACGAAACTTCAGACGTCGGTCTGAATAAACTCTTGTCTTCTCTGAGGTTTGTTTCTTGGTAAAAACCATCTGTCACCATTTCTGGATGTGGTTTGAGGATGTATTTGTGCTGTTTAATTGTGAGATCCGTCTACAGCTCAGACAGACAGAGATGTGCAGGCGAAATGCAGGAGTCTGTTCAGATTCTGAAGCTGATAAACAGTTCATCTGACTGCAGATGATGCAAGTGACAGATAACTATCATCAACTCTCACTTCTGCATTTCTCCTCTATGAAAAACACCTGGCACAAGAACACATAAACACACACCTAACACACATTTATCTGTCTATCTGTCTAATTTTATTGTCAATAGATGTTTATTTAATCTGCCAAATATGTGTGAGTGTGTGTTGTTTAGTAAGTGTGTATTCATGTCTTGTGTGTAGAAGTGTATTATGTGTGTGTGTGAAAGAGAGAGAGAGATTATGGAGAGTCCTCACAAGGATAGCTGACCAGACATGTGTGTGTGTGTGTGTGTGTTGGTTTGAAATATTTATGTAATCAAAAATGGTCTTATAATGTGTTTTTAGGTTTTGACGACACCCCACAAAAGTAATACAAAAAAATAAAATAAAATAATTTGAGTAGAAAAATATTAATAATTCAGTGTCAATGAAAATGTATGGTCGTATCAATAACGTATTACTTTAAAAAGTAAATAAAAACATTTTATACATTTCTATCTGAAAACAAAAAGTGTTACATGATATTATAATAATTTATTACCAGTTAAGTTTTTAAATGGACAAATGGTAATTCTGTGTTGATGTTCACAATGATCATACATTAAAATCATAAGTCTTTTAAACTGTTGTTCATTTGCTCCTAACAGCTTCATAGATTTTATTTCATATATGCTTACATTTGTTTGTCTGAAGCTTGACCAAAATCATGTTTCAGATGTTTTATATCTCCCTATCATGATTATACAGAAAGTTATTTCAAAAATGGTTCGACTTCCTATATTTTATGATGTCCAAAACGCACTGAATAGCAGGAAAGAGCCTTATCTTTGATTTGTAGGGTGACTGATCCTTCAGAAGCAAAGATCATTAGAAAATATCATTAGCTCAGGATTAAAACCATTATGAGAATTAAAAGTCTTCATAATGATGAGAGTACCAACATGTGTGTTTATGTACTTTATAGCTGTGTGTGTGTGTGTGTGTGTCTCAACAACTGACCTTTAGAGTGTGTGTATTTATATATAGTGTGTGTGTGTGTGTGTGTGTGTCCCAGTGTGGGCGGGTCAGAAGCCTGTATGGGGGCGGAGCTCTTCCACAGCCCCGCCCCCTCCTGACCTCACAGAAACACTCATCCCACATCTCACACCCCGTCTGCCTCTTTAGCACATGCGTGTCTGTTCAGACGGAAAAATAGCAGATGAACGTGGAGTTTTTTGCTTTAGAACGAGCTCAGCCGGTTCTCTGCAGTCATGTGAACGCCGCTGATGTCAAACATGTTCTTTAGGTCAGGAAAAAAAGGCTGAATTGAATCTAATGTACTTGAACATGCTGCTTTACATACAATGAAAGTGAATGAGCTGTTGTTGAGCTCCATAAAGTGCCACAGAATCGTCAGAGCAGTAGTTCATATGACTAGTGCACTGTATTTTAAGAAATCATTCTGTCATCACTGCATTCATTTCATTTGTCAGTCAACTATTCAAATTTTTCCCCTCCAGAAATGTTTTACTAGGTTCACCTTTAGTAATCTCAAACATCATTGGTTTTTAAATGCCTGAAGTGTGTGAATGTTTTGAAAACTATCGTATAACATTGGTATGAGACTTTATTAAGGTGTTTTTTTATCCATCTAGGACCTCAACAGCATCCATTTCCATACGGCAAAAAATACAAATCAAACAGATTTTAAATGTATTTCAAAATATACAAAAAACATACTTGCTAAAATATATTTCAAAATATATTTATATAAATATATTTTCTACCAATGTATTTTTTGGCCATTTTTTGTGCATATATATCTTAAAAATATAAATAAGTTTTTTTAAAATAGCATTTAAAAATTTATTTTGCCTGCATACATTTTCAATCTAGGAAACTACATTCACATTTCTCATTTAATAAAAAGCTGTATTTGTTGTCTATAATATGTGTGAACTTTATACATTTTTATTTAAAAAATATTAAACTCTAATGAATCATAATAAATCTATTTTTGATCTCCTGTAGGCTATTCCCTGAAATATAAATGAAAATATATTTTGGTATATGAAGGTTGAAACTAAATATTTTCAATTTCATAAATATATGTGACCCTGGAGCACAAAACCAGTCATAAGGGTACATTTTTGGAAATTGAGATTTATGCAAGCTTTCCGTTGATGTATGGTTTGTTAGAATAGGACAATATTTGGCTGAGATACAACTATTTGAAAATCTGGAATCTGAGGGTGCAAAAAAATCTAAATATTGAGAAAATCATCTTTAAAGTTGTTCAAATTAAGTTCTTAGCAATGCATATTACTAATCAAACATTAAGTTTTGATATATTTACGGTAGGAAATTTACAAAATATCTTCATGGAACATGATCTTTACTTAATATCCTAATGGTTTTTGGCATAAAAGAAAAATCTATAATTTTGACCCATACAATGTGTTGTTGGCTATTGCTACAAATATACCCCAGTGACTTAAGACTGCTTTTGTGCTCCAGGGTCACAAATTTCATTTAACTTCACTGTTTACAATGTATATTTTGGCCAGAAAAAATATATATTTTTGCCATATGGGTTTACTTTGCCTGTATGTAAAAGAGCAGTGTGAACATTCTGCTAAACGTCTTCTTTAGTGCTCGACAGAAGAAAGTCAGTGGGTTTTCGAGGTAGTAAATGATGACAGAAGAGACTTGAAATCTTGTATTTTGCACTTCTGTGTTGCAGCACATTGGTCAGTCAGAGAGACACATGCGCATGTGGAGAGGAAGACAGGCCACATGCACTCATCTGCATACTGCAGACGCTCGACTGCGAAACACAGCGATGCTGAAGCATGAAACACAGTAATGTTTATTCTCTAAAATGGCACACACGTGCAGGAAGTGTTGGTCCATGTTTGCTCACGCTGGAGTGTTTTATGAGCTCTACAGGTGAAACATCGACACACACATAGGTGCTTTTGAGAGGAAAGAGGAAGCAGCGGTGCATTCACAACCACACGCTCCTCTACAGACGCCGTGCTTTACAGTAAATCAGCCTGAACCATGATGGATGGAGGAGCTCTGTCACCATTCATTCTGTCTACAGGACTATAGAGCTGGCTCAGCCTTGGGTCATTACACACCGCAGCTGTCTAATGACAGGAATCACATCCGCTTCCTCAGCGACCTCACAGTGCCATCACACGTGGAACATCCGATCTGATGCTGTTTAAAACTAACCGTTCAATCTCAGTGTGACCTCACAGGCCTGAGACATTACACCGGATGTGGCGCTTTGACCCATGAACACACACACACACACACACACACACACACACACACACACACACACA